CCCTTTCTAGAGGTTATTAAATGATCATGTTGCCCCTACTATATGAAAAATAACAATCAAACAACACCATGAAGTGGCGGGTCAATGGGTGTATGGAGGGGCATTGTTGGAAAAGTCCCCAAAAGTCCAAAAAAGACTTTTCTTGAGAGTCTTCTTCATTTAGTCTCAAATGCCTAGTTTATTCTTTAAAAAATCTCCCCTGTTTGATAAAAAAGTCTCTAAAAAGAATTTTTCTAGTCCCTACATAAAAAAATCTCTGAAAATAAACATCCTCTAGATCTAGATAGAGCTCCAGGTTAGGAGAGAGTTACACGCAGCAATGGCCAATGGGTTGGGCCAGGGACTGATAGGGTGTTCACCTTGCCGCCAAGTTTCCTTTCCTTTCTCTGCATGCAAGCTGCAGACACGTACGTCAAACTGAGTCTGATGGATGGATGGATCGGGACTTGCGTCCTCGACCAGGGCGATCATCTGGATTGGAAGGTTTCTTCTTTTTCTGCATGGATGGACGGGCACCGGCAGGCCGCTGTCTGAGGTAAGGACGTGGCATGGGAAATCGCGATTGCATCTTTTCCTGTCGAGGCCGGACAACAGTGCCAATGATTTGACACGGCTAGATGCCCGGACGCCAGTACGTTGCGTACGTTCGCGATGGAACCGGCAGTGGCAGGGGTTCGTCCCCGCCATGCATGCATGCTGAGTCAAACATGGATCGAGACACGGCTGATGTTGGGTGCTTAGTGAACAGCCTAATCAGGCCTGATCGCACGCCTCAAACCCCTGGACTGACTCCGTATCCAGGCCAAATATAGGATGGATATGGAGAGGCCCGAGCGCGATCAAGCACGTTTGTCACGTTGGATCGATACCCATTCACATCATAAATTGCATCAAATTCATTCCCTCGACCTACCGATTTCATTTGTTCTCTCCTCTCTTCTTCTTCCTTCGCGCTAGACGTCTCGTATATCAACTGCCACCCTTGCTCCAAAGTCGTCCTGAGCCTTGTCGCCGCCAACACTGGCACAACGGTCCTTTTAAACATGCTCTCACCGCCCGGACATAGTCACTGCCCCGGACGCCACTGCGGTACATCCGGCAACTATCGGGCTGTCCCTTGCGCTCTATTGTTCAACCCATTGTCCAACCCATTTTTGTTGGAATACTCTTTTTGTTGTGATTTATTCGTAGGGAAAATGATGGATTCCAATGCTTCGTCGGGCCAGGAGTATGGACTGACGAAGATAAAATGATTGAAGATGAGTTCTTCGATTCGCCGAATTCAGACGAAGAAGTGAACATGATCATGCTCATGAGCATGCAAGAGGAAATGGATCGGCAAGTGGAGTATATTCTCAATTTCAAGGGCTCAATCAAAGGGATAAGAGTGATCGGTCGGGATAGGGTCTCCGGAGCATGGGTATTGCACAAGGACTACTTTGCTCTGGACCCAACTTTTCCAGATGATCCATGGTTTCGTCGCCATTTTTGTATGCGCAAACCATTATTTTTGCGCGTTGTGAAGGGAGTGGAGGCACATGATGACTACTTCAAGCTCACAAGGGATTGTTGCGGCCAACTTTCTTTCTTTGCTAAGCAGAAATGCACGACTACTCTGAGAATGCTTGCAGTTGGTACTGTCGTCGATGTTGTTGGTGAGATGGTCCGGACGAGGGAAGGAGGGATCACATGCTTGAAGAATACTGTCAGGTTTGCCTACTGTCATGATGCAAGTGTTTGGAGCAGAGTATCCGAGAGAACCAAATGTGCATGACACATAAAAGTTGTTGGCATTTGGAGAGGTGAGAGGATTTTCATGAATGCTCGATTCAATTGATTGCATGCATTGGCAATGGAAAAACCGCCTCAAAGATTTGCATGGAACGTATCAGGGTCACGCCAAAGAGGCCACTTATGGATTTGACATGCTTTCTTCGGAATGTCAGATTCTCGCAACGACATCAACGTGCTTCAATTCCCATGTTTAGGAGACTTTGTGATGAGGAATCATCGCCGTGCAACTACACTGTCAATGGTCATGACTACAACATGGGATATTATCTTGCCGATGGCATCTATCCAAACCACAAGGCGACAAACAAAGCGACTTTACAAGAATGCAGGAAGCAGTAAGGATGTGAAGAGGGCATTCAGAGTGCTTCAAGATTGTTGGGGAATTGTTTGTGGCAGCTAATGACATGTTATTTATTTTGCACGATATGATTATCAAGGATGAGGATGATGGTGTAGCTCAAACCAATGGTTTTGAAGTGCCTAAAGAACAAGTTCAAATGCCGGAAGATCAAGATGCAAATCAGCTTATGGACTTTTTGTGGATGCATCAGAAGCTTCGAGATCATGAGGTGCACGTGCAGCTACTCAATGATCTCATGAAGCATATGTGTACCCACAACGAAAACCAAAGAGCTAATGTTTGAGTTGTGCATTTAAAATAATTTTTATATAAGAATTATGTATTTTCCCTACCAGCATTTTTTATTTACGTGCGATATTGATGTGTATGATGGACGTGCATGGATTTGCATGTATTTAAGAGTCGGGGTTTGAGGTATGTGGCTACCGGGCACGAGAGGGGCGGTTCGGATGCATTCTCGGGCGTGTCGAGGGGCGTCCGCGGATGTATAGGGGCCGGATTTGCAAGTCCGGTTGTAGATGCTCTTACTCACCTCAACTCACAAAAAAAGTGACGTTTCAAACATTGACACAGTTTAAGATGTAACGTTCATCAGTAGTTTAGTGCTACTATATGCATAATGTTCAACACAATTATAGTACTATGTAAACACTTTTTAAGACAAATCTACACATGTAATTTTCAAGTTTCCAGTCTAAATACTTAAAAGGATTTTGGTGGTCAAAGCTTACGATGTACTACCCCCTCCGTCTCTGATAGTGTCAAAAATAATCTTATATTTTAGGACGGAGGGAAGTTAGGAATTGACAGTATACCAAGGCCAAAATTATCTAGGAGTAAGAGAGTTTCGTTTGTGTGCTTTACCTAATAGGAACTGGTGAAGCCTTAGTAGATTGATGGAGGAGAGCTTCGCCGTGTAAGGCTTCAACTGTTCAGTAGAACAAGTATTTGCAACTCCAGTGAAAAATCTCAGAAGTTGTGTTGGTTTTTCCTTCTGTTTGTTTATCGCATGTTCTTCAGTTTCACCTCTTCTTTCACATGGATCAATCCTCTTTACTGTGGCTTCATAAGAGTGAATCATTTTCATGAGCAAAGGGTCGGGGCCAGCAAATCAACTATAACACCATTAACAAATATAAAAGAGTAAATGGAGATGGATATTTTGACCGTCGCATCAAATGATTTCTCTTGTTATATTTACAAATCAAAATAGATTAGTCACAAAAGGAGTAAGAACTTCGTCAATCCATGGTAACCGCTGCTGAAATTCAAATTTCCACAGTATCCTCTGGTGCCTGCAGGACCAAAAAACGTGCATAAGGTCTCTTGCTTAATCTTAGCAACAAAAGATGCAGACAATCACGATGAATTATGCAGACGAAAGTAGTAGTAAATCATTGCAGATTCAAATAGTAGTAGTTTGAACCCACGTCAGAGTAGCTCTGGCGTCAACTCACACTTGGGCAGTTGAACCCACATCAGAGTGATTGCCACACCAGGACACCAAGAACTGTTCTTTACATAGCCACATATTGGGAGCAGTGCCCGGGTTTCCAGGGTCGTGGAATTGAGCCCTTTGGTTTCTTTCCGCCCTAGAAAGCAATTAGGCCAAAAGTACGCGTATAGTAAGTCCTAACCACCCCTCTTCCCTCCTCTCTGTGATCTCATTGGTCTTTTGTCATATGCGGTACATATATACCTTGCTTGTGCACAATGAGCAGCCCCAGCCTCCTCCCAAAACATTTAGATTGTTAATCACTCCCAAGGAAGACTAACTTTACTTTTCAGTACACTTTGATCATATGATCTCAGCGTCTTTTGTCATATGCAAGAGACTTGCTTGTCCAAGGTACTAATTCACACCGCATGAAATGCAGGATCAGGATGACTAATCAATCATATTAGACCCCGAATGTGCTCTTTCACTTACGTCGTAGTATAGTGGCACGGCCAAGAGTTCCACTCTAGCATTTTTATGAACCTCGGCTACTGTTCTACATCAATCCAATGAATGCAATTTCTTGAAGAACCGAGGTACTAGTTGTCAGTCAAATGACATTAAATAAGATAATGAAGCTGAAATCCATAGCATAACGCTACTTCCAAAGAAATATGTTTATGATATGATGGTATCCTAGACTCCTAGTGCCTCGTAAATAGAAATTAATTGCATCTACTACTAAATAGGAGTAGTACACCTAAGAAAAGCATGATCAACAATCCACAGGTTTAAAAGCATTTTGTCACATTACAAATAGAGAAATAAACAGTGTTAAAAGAGCAATTCCAGGTCGTTGCACATTTTATCAGGTCTCAGGTGGAAAAGCACAAAATATGTAGATTATATTAAAATGACAGGTAAAGCCATCCTTAAGGATTTTAATCCAGACAACTTCAGCTACACGATAGGTTTCCTACATGCAGTACAGGACAAATTAAACATAAGTCGGAAACAGAACCTTTACTGCATTAGTAATACAATGTCCTTGGAACAGTCAGGACTGCCGCGATGACCATGAATCTGTTACACCTATCCTGCGTAGAAGTTACACCTCAATCAACCATGCCAAAGTTTGAGAAGTTACTACTTACACTTTCAAGATACAACCAAAAATAATAGTCAGTGAATTTCCATGTCTCAGATAGCAAACTATGTTCAACATATGCTCTCCAGTATGAGTTATTAAGTTCCAATTTTTAAGCTGCTTGAGAGAAGTTTTGCAAACTAATGAATATATAAATTTGGTGCATTCTCACTATCTTATTAGATGCAAAATTTACCTCCGGAGGTAAAAGAAATGTGGGCTGGAATCACCATGTACAGGGGTTCAGAGATCAGAACTTCTCAGCGGGTTTGATTCCATCCCAAACCAGCACCATGTTTGTTGAAAGTAGGCTGTATAGGTTCTACAATACCCTGTCTGCTTTTACCAAGGGCCTCTCCCTAAACAAGTTTGACAATAAAACAAAATCAATAGGAAAGTCGAATATTCGGTGTAAGAAATAGATTACTTATCAATATTTTGCTATGTGTTTGCTAAAAAAACTGATCAATGAAAAACATGCCTCACCAAATATTATACATGCTAAATAAACTGTTCAGAAACGTATTTTAGCACACAAAAGAGAAATAACTATAGGAAATATGTTCTTCGTAGATGTCTGCCCTGATGTCCTCAGGCACTGAGATACGAGAGAAGTGGTGTTTACAAAAAACTATATATACAGAATATTTTTTGTTCTTATAGAGATTCTCGTTGTTCTTGATAGTATATTTTTTTCCATCCTAGAATGCAAAGGCATATACCAAGTCCAACAGTACAGATAAGATATACACATACTTCTTTCCAGCCCATGTTCTCCATGATTCTCTTCGCAGACTTCAAACTGCTGGAACATAAGTTCATATCAACTGGTCCAGCTCCCAAGGAGTCCATGTCCTCGATTGCATCTTCATATTCATCAGAACTCATGCCGTTACTTTGCTTCTGCCCCGGTCCTATCCCTAAGCCGCGGTGTAGCTTTCTTCTCTCAGCAGCCCTGTCCCTATAAGTATTTATCTTGTGCTCCTACAAATATTGCAGACATTTCAGAATATTGTTGTCAAGAACATCAGCGCTGATGCTTTAAGTTTGTTATTTACAACATAAATTACAAATGTGGCTGTATAAGGAAACAATTCAACAGAGGTGGTACTCCAAACTTCCATAGATGATGAAATTAAGAAAGATTAGAACATGGAGCAATATAGCATTATCAATGTATTTTGATATGGCAATATGATACAGTACTCTATTTAACTTTTCAATCATGCATATACATTGTTTAAAACACCCAGAATCAGGCTACATAGTGTACATAAGCCATAAAACTACTGTCAATAAAATTCTAATTCGATGGAAAGCATTGTTGCCATAAAATAATTAATAAATCTCTGTCTATATAAATATCAAACTTCTTGAGTTTAACGTTGGGCATTTAAATTGTTACCTAGGAGTAGTACTCACTAGACAAAGGAAGCATTGATGCTTCCTCTAGCCTTTAAGATTTCTTCTATGTTTTTTAACAATTGCTCCCAATCACATGATCTCCAATGCGGCATGAGATGACAAACAAATAGGTTGCAAAATTCAAAATTACTAATAAGCTGAAAATAGCACAAAGTTAAACACTGTCAAAACCAACTTAATGTTTCAGTAAATAGATCTCCAAATGGGTTTGACTATCAATAAATTGTTGGGAAACAAACAGGTTAGACAATATTTCAGTAAATGGCAACGAGAGGAATCAGTTAAACATTAACTTACCTTGCCACTAGCAGCTGAAACACCTTCCCCGGTAGAAGATTCATGAGCAATATCAGACAGGCAACATGCAGTAGACTGCTTATCTGAATTGTTATTAGGGTTGGCATATAGGTCAGGAAAAGCCCAATCTTTTGTTGGGTTCGAAGAGTCATACGCTGATAAAGAGGCCAGGTATTTTCTGCTTGGGTTCCTCAGCCTGTACAACTTCCCTGATACATGAGTACTAGTATAAGTATTACATGGAGTTTTAGGCCCAATAATTGTCAACCAAAGAACAGCGGAAATTTTTCTTCACAGTATTCTGTCTTACTGTAAGCTTTAATAATGGTATCTGATATAGAAAATTCCATCATATTATATTCAAGTTTCAGCAAAAGAAACTTACTCCCTCCATCCTCAAATAAGTGGACGTTTAGCATTCGAAATTTGTCCACAAAAGAGTGTGCTTCTATCTTCCCAATGCACTTTAAAGTAGAAAAGATGTTTCTGTCTCATCACATGGGAATCAAGCCCAATAACATTCAACAGGTCTCCTCATTTTCTACATGCACTTAGCTCATTCGAGGTGGGGAATTAAAGAGGAGAGAGATAGTGGCTTGCACCTTCCCGATGCATTTTCTACTCCACCCCATAATCTGTCTTAAAATTTCTATATGTCCACTTATTTGAGGACGGAGGAAGTATATTAGGAAGGAAAACCATCTACGCCTTGGTATCAAAAGAGCAGTGCACATTCCTATCTTTCTACCCTATCCAAGTATCCAGTCTTACCTGATGAAACACGTACAAGATCAAGATGAACTTCACGAACAGGAGCGGTTCTTAGAAGGCCACCACGAGCAGGCAGAGAAGGATGAAGCTTACTAGAACCCCTAGTTAAACGTCCCACAAGCCTAGTCATGGGCTGACCTTTGCTAACAGGTTCTGTGACCATATGCCAGTCCCAAAGATCAACGCTCGGAAACAATGGCAGCTCATCATTTACTCTCTCTACTTGACCATACTGAGAAAGCCAGTTCTCTTCTTCTGGGGAAACAATATGCAAAGCAAAATATCAGTAAGACGCACACATCACACAGAGACAACACACCAGATAATCCCTAACATGTGCCAGTGCTCAGTATTTCAGTAAATAAAATGAAGATAGTAATATGATGGCCCTCACCTTCCCCTAAAGATTCATGCACAACTGTGAAGCTCTCGATTTGCATTTTATCTTCTATTTGCTGTAATGTAGCATCATTCAGAGAGTCTGATGCATTATCTGAAGCCACGTTACTGAGTTTGTTCTCAACTGCATCACTTTTGCCTTCCTCTGGTGACCATAATAAATTTATTAGAATTGCCAGTGCAGACTTTCAGCATCCCACAACACAAGAAGGTAGGGGAAAACAGCAATAATTCAAGTTACTAACCACTTATCTGTGATTCTCCTAGTAAATTTTCAGTGTTGACCTCTATATTAGAGTATCCTGATAAATACATGTTAATTAGTGTTTCCTCCAGCCTGTAAAAGAAATAACAGAATCAAGCGCAAAAGAATCAGGTGTCTAAAAAAGATGTTTATCAGATAAGAGAGAGTGATTATTTATGCAAGAACCATTCTGATGGCGGTTGATGTGGAATATCCGGTTCCGGTCCTGCTATTAAATGTAAAAAAAATATCGCATTATCTCTCCAATGCCAACTGTTACAAAGACTTCTATTTCTCATGATTTGTTTCCCAAAAAGATAGCCTGGACCCTTTCTATACAAGAAAAACAAAACTACAACACTGTGCTACAGGTTCCCTTTCAGATATGGCTGGTGTTACTGTTCTGAAGCTAAAGATCGCATGTTTATATTTCAACAATTAATTCCAAGATAGATATAGATGTCGAACAAATATGCCCTCAAAAGTTGCAGCATTATCAACTAATGAGACTAACAAGAGGATTCCAGGAAACTTTGGCTAGCTTCATCACATGGACTCTGTACACTGGGTTCCTTGCCCTGTTTGAATATGGACATGGGTGTAAGCTCACACAAGACAATGATACATTGAGAAATTTTGAGGAACCAGATGAACTTGTAAGTACCGCATCTGAAGTCCATAACACGTAATCTCCATTCTCATAGATGTAGTACTGACCATCTGTGCTGCTGTAGTACCAGCCAGCGACAGGGTCATGGTAAAACCCAGTACTGAAAATGTAAGTAAACATCAGAAGATAACCAAAACGAGAAGGATGAATAATATGCTGAACAGAGGAGTACAGTAGAGTTTTGGACAGAGAAAGCCTTATATTTCTATAAAATGAACTGTATCCAAAGCCGTAGCTCCGTAAAAAAAAACTGTATCCAAAGAATAAGTTAGGTCGATACAACAACAAAAATGAACTATCAAGAAAATTACAAGCTATTTGTGCTCAGTATTCTGCACCTACTGATTTACTGTTGAAGAATGAAGTGAATGTGACATAAATCATCCAAACTCTGTATAACACAATGAATAGATATAAGAAATGAAGTATTTGCACAGTCAAAAAGGTCACCCGAGTGATTATCATAATTAGCAGACCACTGTCCAGTGTTTATGCAAAATCAACACAGCTAGACTCACTTAAAACTCAGAGATTTCTTCACTTAAAATGGCCAGATCCAGTCATTTTTGGCGGCGGGGTGGTGCCGGAGTGGATGGGGGTGGGGGTGGGGGCGCGCCGGCGGGGCTTGGGCGGCGGCAGAATGGAAGAGGGGGAGAGATGAGGTGTGGGGAATTTTTACTCCGCGGGTGGGCGGAGTATATTTGAAGGCCGCGGCCGCCGCGGAGTAAAAAATATCCTCCACTAACGGTTATAAGGGTTCGGTTAGGTGCACTTTAGAGGAGGAAACATGATTTTATCCTCCTCTAACTGATTATAAGGGATCGGTTAGAGATGCTCTAACATAACTAACCCTATGTGCTCTCTTAGACTCTTACTGCTAATTATTGTGACAATGCATCATAAAAAAAACTTCCTATTCCAAAACAGGAGAGATTCAACCCCTCTCACAAACAGACAGAAGTACATATTCAAGTGAAATTCACAACAGCAACAGATATTTAACCCAAAAATGTAAATAATCGCAAGTAATCTGCACTGGGGCAGCAATGCATGCTAACCCCTGAACCCTGATGTCCATAAATTTGCTACTAACTACCAGCCCGTTCTCGAACAAATGATTCTATCACTCATCAACGCTCCCGCCTGGGGAAGAACTGGATACCAGAATGGATTCGAGCAGCCGCAACTGCTCGAGCTTTGGAAGAAGAAACCTAGACCGTAGGGGGTAGGAAGGGGAACCTGGCGTGGTAGTAGAGCTGGGAATCCGCGTCCCACTCGAACCCCCCGCCGCCGCTTCCCGTCCCGGGGTCGGCGTCGCTCCCGTCCATCGCCGCCGTTCGCCGGAGGGGCACTCGTGGGTGCCGCGCCGCTTCCCAGCGTCCTCGCCTTGCCGGAGTGGTTTAATGGGCCGAATAAAATGGTGCTGAAGGATAGGTGCAGTAATAAACACATGGGCTGAAGAGACCTAAAGGCCCACGAGAAGTCTCCCCTCCTTGTTGCTTAGCGTCTATACCTCGCTTGAGTGCGGAGGATAGGGAGACGAGAGGCTTAGGCCTTGTCAATGGGAGATACTTGGGGATGTGCTTAGAAAAATAAACCGGATTTTTTTGAAGCAGCGATGCTTATTTCTATAGGAGAGACGCTTAGTTAAGCGTCTACTCTCTACAAATAAGCACCGGTTCTTAAGGAAATCCTGGTTTATTTCTCTAAGCACCTCTCCTAAGCACCTCCCATTGTACAAGGCCTTAGGGCTCCACAGGCAGTTGCCAGGGATTTTCGCCGTGCTGCAAGGTGAGAGGAACCTTGCATCTTCATAGTGTATTCAAAAGTTTGTTTTTACTTTTCAAGGTGAAAAGGAATTTTATTTCATAATTATAGAGTGGCCTCACTTCTCCAATCTGACCACAGTCTTTCTACAGAAGTCTTCTCAGTATTTCATGTTGCAAATATTTATACCACGAAGAAAACAATTCTAGGATATTTTAATGTAATTATTAATTATAGGACTTATTTTGTAATCTTTTTTTATGAATGAAAGGGGTTTCCCCCGCCCCATTTTATTAATAAAGCGAAATCAGAAACCAGAGTTGTTCAACACCCATAAATAGCACCCATCGGTGTGACGCCACCCTAGCTAATTAAAAGATAGGATCCAGAGAGCACAGTTCTCTCAAACCAAAGTATTAGAGCTACTTATCTTATTACAGGCCCAGAAATACAAGAACACCATAGAAATCTAACAGAACCTCTGGCACGCCTTCAACTTCTCGGCCTTCACGATCATCTCCAGGCGATCCGTGGAAGTTCTCCGTGACATTTTCCAGAGGAGAATGCACCGTTGCAAAAGCGTTGCCTGAGCGTCGTCGCAGAGAACTTTCGATTGCTGTAGATGGGAGCTTAGCTTCGCAAGAACACATTTGACACTTCTCCAGATACGGCCTGAAAGCATAAATCATTTCTTAATTTCCAAATGCTCTATAAGGATGCAGCCACTGTCAAATTAAACACGGGTTTCCTTTTATGCATTCGCCACAAGGCGCACACATCATTGAAATTGTTGATGTAAGGATAATCGAAAGCTTTAGAGACAAAATCACAAACCTGTTTTGCAACCACACAATCAAATAACAAGTGTTGCACAGATTCGTTTTCAGAGTAAAACACACAAGTTAAATCTTCTACAAGTCTTCTCTTAGCCAAATTATCACGGGTAAGAATCTTGTTATAAGCACCTAGCCAAAGAAACACATGTATTCTTTGAGGTCAAAGGACTTTCCAAGGCTTGTCACCAATATCAGAGACCACATCCCAAAAGTTGATTTGTTTATAAAAAGATTTCGCCGAATACACTCCATTCGCCTCCAAAGTCCAAATAGGAGAGTCAGCTTCATCACTCAAATGAGAGCTTTTGACCAGATCTACCAACTGAATCCAGCATTCAAAACCCGCATTGTCTACACATCTTCTAAAAATTAACTTAAGATTATCACCATCCCAAACCTGGGCCACTGAACATTCAACTTGATTGCAAATGCAAAAAAGGTCTCAAAATTGTGTTTTGAGGGAACAATTCCCAACCCTTGTGGGATTGTTCTAAAAGAATTTTGTAATGTTTGTGTATCTATGATCTGAAGTATTACATTGTAATTTTGTGCACGATAAAAAAATTGTAGCTAATTCGCAATAAGAATAAACACCAAGTTTTTTTAGCAAACCCCGCTTGTTCGAGACGTATGACACGCTCGCCTACCATGCACCTTAAAACCCCTCCAAAAAGAAAACACGCACCTTAAATGGGTCAGGCCTAAATTTCTGTTCGCTTAGCTCTCGCCCGACCCACCGTTCGGCACAATGTACGCATGTTCTTTTCCTTTTTTTCTCTTTCTTTCCATCTTTAATTTTTACTTATTTAGTGTTCAACAAAAATATTTATTACCCCTATTCATAAAATTAATGTATATTTGGTAAAACATGCTACTTTTATATGATTTCAAAATATTATTTCTGCAGTACAACAAAGTTTTCTTGTAGTTCAAAAAAAGTGTTCTTGCATTTTTTTTAAATGTTTCATGCATCCAGTTTTTTATGAAAAAATGTTTGTATATTTAAAAAAAGTTTGTACCATTTAAAAAAATGAGTGTCCCATTTAACAAAAGTGTTCACACGCCCCAAAAATGGTTAATGACATAAAAGAATGTTCATGAAAGGGCATCACACAATTTTTTTCTAAAAAATAATAACGTATAAAAATTGCCATTCAAAAATTTTGTTCACAGAACTTAAAATATGTTCATAAAAATATAAAAGTTTGTTCGCGTAACTTTTATTAAATGTTTATAAAATATAGAAAAATGTCTGTATCGATTAAAAAACTCAAAGCAATCAAAATATGTTCACACCTATAACAATATTCATGAAAATGTAAAAAAAATTCACATAATTTCTTAAAAACGTTCATGACTTATAAAAATATTCGTACACTGAAGTGGGCAGATTAAAATGTTGACAAATTTAAAAGATAAAAAAGGAAAAAAAAGAAGGAACATAAACGAAAAGGACAAAAAAACACCAAATAGAAAATCGAAACCAAGAAGAAAGACGGAAAACCGGCAAAAAGTACAAGGAAAATGGAAAGACTGACTACAAGCTTCCTCAAACCACCCAGAGCATAGTAGATGCTTCCTAAAAATAGCTCTCACCCTTAACGCGCCATTTGGCGCAACCGCGCACAACACGTCACTGCATGGCCAAGCCCAATAATGTTGCCCATCTGCTCACTCGACTTTGCTGGATCACCCGCTCGCTCGCTAAGCCCATGTCGTTAATTGGTTTTTTTGCTCATCGGTCTCAGGAAAAACAGGTCATTTTTTCTGATATTTTTATTTTTTTGTGAAAAAAGGCGAATAAAAATGAATTTTAAAAAATATTCATGGATTTAATTATTCTTTCTCAATATATAAAACATGAGGTTTAAAAAGTTACATGATTTTAAAAATAAAAATAAATAAATAATAAAATGGAATAAATAACCAACAAAATAGAAGTAAAACACATAGAAAACTTGCCCAAAAAACCGGTGAGGCAAGGACTGCATGGGTCGACCCACTTAGAAACTAGTAAAGGGAGGAGGGTGTGTGCTGCATATGGAAGTGTTCAGTCAAATGCCATAGCGCATTTCTTTAGATGTTTTTGTTGTTTACATTGAAGCAAACACGAAGGATTCAGACGAGGAGTACTTCTACACCGAGTTTATGGATTCATCTTCATCGGATGAGGACGAAGGTGATACTGAAACTATGATGATGATGGCAATTCTTGATGAAACGGAGCATGTTGAGGAGCATTTTCTCAACCTCAATGGTTCAACGCTGGGACATCAAGTGTTCAATCAACATCGTGCATGGTGACATGCTAGTCTCTACGAGGACTACTTTTCCTCCGGTGTGCTACTCGGCCGCAATTTTCGACGTCAATACTGGGTGCAGCGACCATTGTTCTTGCGCACCATAGAAGGTGTCATGGCGTATGATGATTACTTCAAGCTCAAGATGGATGTCATTGGCTGCGTTGGGTTCTCTAGTCTTCAGAAGTGCACGACTGCTATGAGGATGCTTTCGTTGGCACAACCGCAAACTAGTGGAATGAGTACCCCCTCGATGTCTGAAAGCACATGTCTCGAACCCATGGTCAGGTTTGCTACTAAAGTGTTCAAGGTGTTTGGACTGGAGTACTTTAGAGAATCAAATGTCGAAGACACATGAAGACTCATGGCAATGGGAGAAGTAAGAGGGTTTCCATGTATGCTCGGATCCATGTATTGCATGCAGTGAAAAATGAAAGAAATGCACACATGCTAAACAAAGGCAATATCAGGTCATCACAAAAAGCCCATCATCATTTTTGAAGCGGTTGCATCGCAAGATCTGAAGGCTTGACACTCTTTTTCCGACATGCCAGGGTCTCATAATGACATCAATGTATTGCATGGTCTCCATTGTTTGCAAGGTTGTGTGTGAGAAGCTCCTGCGTGCAAATATACCATTAATGGGCATGCGTACAACACAGATATTATTTTTGTGATCGTATCTATCCTTCGTGGGCGACTTTTGTCAAACCATCTTCAATTCATTAGGTAACCAAAAATCCCACTTTGTTGCAAGACAAGAATGTGCTAAAAAGGATACAGCGAGGACATTTGAAGTACTCCAAACCCATTTTGCAGTTATTAACGTGAAAATCCAACTCACAGACCTACTAAACAAATGAGATTTAGAGACATTCATGTGAGGTGATGACAGCTTGTATGTGCACAACGTGATTGTGGAGGATGAGAGTGAGGCAGTTCATCAAGTTCTGGATTTAGAACAGATGGATCATGTCCAACTTCCAGAGAAGAATGCGCCAACATGTGAGCAATTTCTATGAATGCATCATCAGATCCGCAATCGAGAAACTTAAATACAATGTTAGTGTTATGTGGGGGAGCATTTATGGACGGTTCATATAGACAATTAGAGCATGTGTCCAAATAATGTAAGTTTAAATTTGAACTATTTTATTTCAAAACTTTATGTTTGTATTGGATAGCGTTGGATGGCATCTGCCCGACCGGATGTCTGTGGACATTTGAGGGAGTGAGTTTGAGGAATAGCTTGAAGTCACCCTTAGAACGCTCGGTTGTCAAAAGAGTTTTTTTTTGGGAAGTCCTTTGTATCCGGCTGGCCGGCTGAAACTTCGATAGACCACGTCCCATGCATACGACGGAAGCGAATTGTGTGTCCCTAGTGTGCCTCTTTCAGATCATGTATCTTCTCTCCCTCCACTAACA